TGCAGAGTGAGGATCCTTGGGGGGCAGGGATGGGCAAAGGTTGGACTGGATGATCTTGGAGGTCTTTTCCAACATTAATGACTCTGTAATTCCATGGTCCCCACACCCTGAAGGAACTGGGATGGATTTTGGTCTTTCCCACAGCCAGGACCCTCCTGCTCCATCCCAGGCCCCCCGTGCCTCAGTTTCCCGTGGTGTAGAGAAGGAGCTGCCAGGAGGAGCCAGTTCCACCTCCAAAACAACCCCCCTCTGAGTCCTACCCGGGGCCAACAAGAAGCCCTTCACTTTTATTTTGCTTTTCTTCCTCCCTCTCCGTGTCCCAGCCCTGTGAGAGCTGAAGGGAAGCAGAAAAGAGATGGAAAAACTCGGTGCCACGAGTTGGATCCTGGGGCTGGATGGCAGGAGCTGGGCCCTGCAGAGACCCAGTGCTGGAATTTCTGGGGATTTGGGGAGAAATTGGGATGAGCTGCATCCATCCTCTGCCCAGGATGTCCTGTGGTGGTTTCTGACCCCTGTGCTGTGCTGGGGATTCACCCCTTGTTGGCAGCACCTGTGTGTTAGTGGTGTAGCTGCACTCCTGGGATTTCTGTGATTAAAGTGTATTCCCATAGGAAATGGTCGGAGTGACTGGGCAGGTCCCTGAATCACCCAAAAATCCATGAACTGGCTGAGTCCAGCTGGCATTTCTCTGGCTCATCCTCCCCTCTCGAAGCAGGAGGAGCTGGAATATCCCCATCCCCTGAGAGAGGGAAGGTCACCCTCTGTGATTTCAGTGGTCTCTGGACCACAAATGATTTATCAAGGTCACACACTGACTTTGGGGATGAGCCAGCCATGAAACCCTGTCCCTTGAATCAGACCAGGATGCCCAAAATTTGGGGTTTTAAGCAGAGGATCAATGCCAGAGCAGATCCCAGGAGATCCCACCCTCTCCCCACAGCAGAGCTGGTTGTCTGGTGTGGAAAACCTTTGGTGGACCCCCCAAAATCTGATCCCCAGCGGAGCAAGGAGGGCTGGGCAGGAGCTGCCACAGGATGCAATTTTTAGCTGTGCCGTTATGCAACTCGGGAGAGGGGATGACTAATGTGCAAAAAGCTCCTCTAAAACAACCAAACCCCAAAAGGGAGACAGAGGGATTTCAGTGGGAGGCACCGAACTGCTGAGAAACCCTTCGCATCTTCTCCCTCTTCCTCCCCACCTCCCTCTGATTTGGGGGATGCAGGAGGGAGAAAGCAGCTTGTTGGTATTTTTAAGAGGGGTCTGGGTTGGTTTTGGGGGTGAGTTCAGCAGGGCTTAATCCCCTGGGTAAGAGGAGCTGTAGTGGAGCAGAGCAGAGCTGTAAATATCTCCAGAGCCCAGGGTTTTATCTCAAACAGTGGCCAAAATTGGCTGCCTGGAGAACAGGATAAGAATAGAGCAGGAATATCCGATACTTCCCCTGAATATCCTCCCAGAGCTTATCTGTGTTTAGGGATCTGGAAGGAGCTCACGTTCCAGCCCAGAGAAAGGAAGGTTGTTGGATTTATTCCCGAGGAACTGAATAAATCCACAGGATTAGATCCATGGCTGCCTCTGCCCAAGTCCTAACATGGCATTTAAAAAAAAATAACCTCAAGGGGTGTGCAGGGACTGTCAGGACATCCCAGTGTGGACAGGAGAGGTTCCCATGGGATGAGGGGACTTTGTTGGGTCTTGTTCCCAGCAGGATGCTGTGACTGAGGAGGAACATATGGATAACACTGTGTGTATTGTCTATGTGTGTCCCTTGCCTGTGGACAGTGGGATGCCTGGAGCTTTAGTGCCCCGTGTCCCTCTCCCCACTGTGGCTGCAGACACAGGAATGGGACCAGAAATCACGGAACTGTGGAATGTTTGGGTGGGAAGGGACCTTAAATCCCACCCAGTTTCACCCCCTGCCATGGGCAGGGACACCTCCCACTGTCCCAGGTTGCTCCAAGCCCCATCCACCCTGGCCTTGGACACTCTAGAGATGGTGCACAACGTCTCTGTTACTGTCCCGATGTCGGAGCTCCCACATCCCTCTGTCCACGTGTCCATCCAGCTGGGACATGGATCAGCATGTTGGGACAAGGACCAACCCCTATAACCACCCACCCCTGGTGCCGAAAGCACTACAGGGAGCAAAACCAGAGCAGCCTTTGGATCCAGGGAGGGGATTTGGGGGCAGTTCCCCCTTCCAGCATCAGCTCTTCCTTCTCTTTTCCTCCTGGAAGGCTCGGAGCCCAGCGCTGCGTGGAGGCTGCACCAGGATCCTGGGGTTGCGTGCAAAGTATTAATTTTTATTGTTGCAACAACTGCTCTGTTTCTTGGGAGATGCCTGAAAGAGCTGAGAAAATAGAAAGGCCTGTCAGGCTGCCGGGAGGGAGGTGAAGATGTCAAGAGAGTAATTGCTCTACCCAGAAGGAGCCTGTTCCTGGCTTCCCCAGCACTGCCAGGAAAAATCCTCAGCGCTCATTTGATGACAATAAAGGAAAAATAGAAAATAAATAGCAACCCCATGGTTTGCCTGTGCTGACGAGGAATGGGGAGAGCAGAGGCAGATGCAAAATAAGATGCAGTTGAGCTTATAAATAGGAGCCTCCCAGCTCCCAGTCTGTTACTTCCTCACCTCCACCCGGGCACTTGATCCTTACGCTTTTCCCACAGAAAAGGTAAATGAAGGAGCAGAAAGTATTTTGTAAATTGCTGGGGAGGGGGTCACGCTCCTCCTCCTGTGTGGGATGGGCTGGGGCAGGGAATGAGTCCTGGTGCTGTGGAAAAAATAATCACAGAGTCAGGGAATGGTTTGGGCTGGAAGGGACCTTAAAGCTCATCCTGTTCCACTCCCTGCCATGGGCAGGGACACCTTCCCCTAGCCCAGGTTTCTCCAAGCCCCATCCAACCTGGCCTTGGACACTTCCAGGGATTGGGAAGCCACAGCTTCTCTAGGAATTCCATCCCAGCCCCTCACCACCCTCACAGGGAAGAATTCCTTCCCAATATCCCATCCATCCCTGCCCTCTGGCAGTGGGAAGCCATTCCCTGTGTCCTGTCCCTCCATCCCTTGTCCCCAGTCCCTCTCCAGCTCTCCTGGAGCCCCTTTAGGCCCTGCAAGGGGCTCCAAGGTCTCCCTGGAGCCTTCTCTTCTCCAGGTGAACCCCCCCAGCTCTCCCAGCCTGGCTCCAGAGCAGAGGGGCTCCAGCCCTGGAGCATCTCCGTGGCCTCCTCTGGACTCTCTCCAGCAGCTCCACGTCCTCCTGCTGTTGTTCCCAGGGCTGGAGCAGCTCTGCAGGGGGGTCTCACCTGAGGGGGCAGAGGGGCAGGATCCCCCCTGCCCTGCTGCCCCTGCTGTGGGATCAGCCCAGGGCAGGGGGGGTTTGGGGTCCCAGCCCACGTGGCCGGGGCGTGTTGAGCTTCCTGTCCCACCAACACCCCAAGTTCTTCTCCTCAGAGTTAGTGCAGGACCTACCCAAACGTTGTGCTGGCCCAGCTGGGTGCTGGCAGCACTTCAGGGTGTTTGGGAAGATGCTCCTAGTGAGACTGTGGGAACTCACCCTCCCTGGAATTTTTTGGGGGGATGGCCCTGGCAGCACCACAGCAAACCCGGGTGATTTTTGGAGCTGGGATGTGCCAAGTCAGGGTAGCACCCTACTGATGTTGGGTGGCAGATCCCCACCCAAAAAAAGCCTCCAGGAAGGGGCTGTGAGGGCAGGAGGGGCTGGAACTCACCGCTGAACGAACGGAGCCGGTGCCGATGAGCTGAGACAGGAGGGTGGTTTTCTCGTGGTGGCTTTGTCTGGGGGACAAAAAATAATAAAAACCTGGGCTGTTGTTAGTTATTTTTAGTTGTGCTAACTTTTTTTTTTCCAAGGCTGGGAAGCTGCTTCCAAGGCAGGTCCCTGGAGGCCGCGGGCAGCAGGTCTCGAGCTCGCACAGAAAATGGCTTTGAACGGGGAGGAGGAGATGGGAGTTAAAAGCCGACTTGTGCCCCTGGTAAATCAATCGACCTGATGGGGAATGTTTCCAGCAGGCCACGAGTCCTGCCAAGAGCTTTTAGCTGCTCGCAGGACTGATGGAACCAAGAGCTGGGATAATTTTCAGCAGCTGGTCCCCAGTTGCTGCTGGGGGTGATGCTGGGTCCCCAGACCCGTCACTGTGGCAGCCTGGGAGGTGGGAAGTTTTCCTGCCAGCTGTGGGATTTAGGGGCTTTCATTCCAATGGGATGTGGGGTTTGAAAAGCCTCTGTGTCTGGGCATTGCTCACCCGAGCTGTGCAGTGACACCTGATGGAGAATGAGACCTTTATTTTGGTGAAAACAGGGTGGGTTTGGGGCTGTGTTGGGTCTGCAGGGAAGGTAGACGGGTTGAACCCATAATCGGAGGTTTAAAGCAGAATTCCATGGCTTGTCATGTGCATTAGGCACTGTCTGCCTGCCTGACAGCCCCTCGCCTGGGAAGCAGGCCCTGGCACATGGGGAGAGGCGGTGGGTGACTCAGAGCTCCAATCAATGGTAATTAATTCAATGATAACAAATGAGAGGGAGAGAGAGAGAGAGAAGAAAAAACACTGCGGGATTAATGCACCAGGCTTGGCTTTGGGACATCTGGCTTGGGGTTGGCTTGGGAAGTTTTGGGCTGGAGCATCTTTCTGGGAGGAAAAGGCTGCAGTGGGAATGACATTTTTACTGTGTTCTTCGTTTTTACCCTCGAAATCCCCGTGACTCCACGTCTGGTTTCTCTTGGAGAATCGTTTCCCAGGTCTCCATCTCTGGCTCCATTCTGAGGCTTTTGTTAAACCATTTTTTCCCGGTTAACTGACGGAACAGCAGCATTTTATCCCTCTGGAAATGCACATTTTGCTTTGTGGTTGGTCTGTTCTCTCCATCCTACAAAGTCGGGGTGCCCTGGAAGCTCAGCCTCCCTCTCACTCCCCTATTTCTCCCCAAACAGCCGCTGGAACACGATGTTTAATGTGTTTAATATTTGTGTCTTTAATTGCAGACTCCTGCCAGGACGCCCTCGCTTCCAGTTACGCCCAGGGCGAGGTGGTCACCTTCTCCTGAGCCCCGGCTGGATCCAGGGAGTGCCCCGGTGAGGGACACCTTCCCCCAGGGATGCTCTTCCCAAGGGATGCTCTTCCCAAGGGATGCACTTCCCAAGGGATGCACTTCCCAAGGGATGCACTTCCCGAGGGATGCTCTCCCCAGGGGATGCCTTCTCTTAGGTGGAGGGATGTGTATCCTGAGGGATGCTCTCCCCAAGGTGGAGGGATGCTCTCCCTGAGGCCAAGAGATGCTTTCTCCAAGGGATTCCATTCCCAAGGCCAAGGGATGCTTTCCCTGAGGCCAAGGGATGCTCTTCCCAAGGGAGACGGTCTCCCCAAAGCTGAGGGAAGCTCTTCCCAAGGGACAGGCTCTCCCCAAGGCCAAGGGATGCTCCCTGCAAACCTGGGACATGCATTCCCCCAGGGATGCTCTCCCCAAATCCCAGGGATGCTCTCCCAAGGCTGAGGGATGCTTTTCCCAGTGGACATGCTCCTCCCAAGGCCAAAGGATGCTCTCCCAAGGAGCCTTCCTTCCCCAGGGCTCCAGCTCCGTTCCTGGTGGGGGTTGGCAGCAGGGTCCCCTCAGAGGTGCCACAGGGCAGTGGGGCCAGGAGGGAGGTTTGGGGGTGTCCCCACTCCCCTTCCTGCTGCCAGCCCTGCCACAGCCACACTTCCCAACCCCACACAGCACCCCTGGGCTGCCCCCTGCCCTTGCCCATGCTTTGGGATGCACCTTGTCCCTCTGGAGCCTCTCCAGCTGCTCACTGGGGCATCTCTGCCCGCAGCTCCACCCGTGCCCTGACCCCCTTCATCATCCCACAGGCGCTGGGGACCCTTCTCTGGGGTGCCAAAGGCTCCATTCCAGGTGCCACGGACAGGCCCCAGGGATGCTGAGCCCGGGATGCAGATCCCTGACAGGATGGGGGGACGAGCGGGTGGGTTGGGGCGCAGGGCTGGGGCTGGGGAGTGCTGGGTGGCCCAGGAGTGGGAACCTGGCTGGCCTGGCGGGGTCAGGCTCTGTCCAACGCTGTTCATATCTCTGTGACCAAGGCAATACTCCTGTCTCCGTCTGTCCTGTCCGCATGCCTGTCCCACCAACCTGTACCAGAGTTCCAATAAACACATCGATGAGCTGAGTCAGCTCCCAGACCCTCCTGACTCCCTGTTTCCTTGCTGCTGCCTCCCTGAATCCCCACAAAGCCCTGTCCCAGCCCCGGCTCTCCCAGCAGAGGAATGGGGATTTCAGCAGTGGATCCCCTCCAGGGAGGTGATTCTGCTCCTCTACTCTGCCTTCCTGAGATCCCACCTGGAATACTCATCCAGGTTTGGTGCTCCCAACTTAAGAAGGACTTGGAAGTGCTGGAGCAAGTCCAGAGAAGGCTGTGAAGTTGATAAGGGAATGGAGCACATCCCCTATGGAGACAGGCTGGGAGAGCTGGGGGTGTTCAGCCAGGAGAAGAGAAGTTGTGTGGAGACCTCACAGCACCTTCCAGGACCTGAAGGGGCTACAGGGAAGTTGGAGAGGGACTGTTCATCAGGAACTAGAGAGACAGGACAAGGGGGAATGGATTCCAATGGAAAGAGGGAAAATTCAGGTTAGATACTGGGAAGGAATTCTTCCCTGGGAGGGTGGGGAGGCCCTGGCACAGGTTGCCCAGAGAAGCTGTGGCTGCCCCTGGATCCCTGGAAGCGTCCAAGGTCAGGTTGGATGGGGCTTGGAGCAACCTGGGCTGGTGGAAGGTGTCCCTGCCCATGGCAGGGGGTGGGACTGGATGAGCTTTCAGGTCCCTTCGAACCCAAACCAGTCTGGGATTCCATGACTCCCTGTTGTGGCTGAGCTCTGCTCTCTCACACATCTTGGAGCAGAGCCCATGGCAAGCCCACAGCAGAATGGCTTCAACATCCCCGTGGAATCCCTTTGCTGGAGGAAAGGCCCTGCAGAGCTGCCACATCCATTGGTTTTGCCTGTTCTCAGTATCCAAGATGAAATCAGCAGCACTATGGCCCAGCAGTGCCATCCTTAGGCTTTGGAGTGAACACTGGGTTGAGGTGCAGGGGCTGTTCCTCCCCGGGCAGCCCTGAGCTCATCCATGAGCCCACAGCTAACATTCCTGCTGGGGCTGTACCCCCCCAGGCACAGAGAGAGAGCCCTCAGAGACCCACGGAGACCTGGGACTGCCAGTGCTCCAAATCACTGCTGCCATGAGCTGGGGGGGGCCTCAGCTGCCCCCCTACCTGGAGACTTTGGGGCTCCACTTGTTGACAGCCCTCTCCAAGGAGGCACAGGGACAAGCTGGGATGGGTCAAACCAGGCACAGAGCTGAAAGGCTGCCATGAAACTGGAGAGAAAACATTCCCAAGTGTGAGCAGACCGTGGCCAGGGGCCAGTGAGCAACTCCAGGGAGAGGCTCTGGGAGAGGCTGCAGAGCCCTGGTGAGAGCCCAGAGGTGCTGCCAGATGTGCTGGGCCCTTCCCACCGTGGCTGTGGCCATGGATCCATCCCAGGATCCGTGCTGAGTGCTTGGGTGCTGGAGGAGGCTCAGTCAGGTGGTGCTGAGCACCTGCATCCTCCGGGTTCTGTTTGGGGCCACGAGCGCTCAGAGCATCCCGGCGGAGCTCAGGACCTGCTCCAGGGGGACCTCGAGGGGACAGGGTGGTCACACTGTGGGGGGTTGAGGCAAAGCTGGTTGGAGATGTTCCCTGAACATCCCTCAGCAGCAGGACTAGGTCGCTGCTCCATCCTGGACAAAGCCTCTTCCCATCCCCATTCTGTACTGCACTGGCCAAATGCAGCCTGTTCCCGCTGATCCCTGGGCAAAACAGGAGTCAGGGGGAACAAACTGGAGGCTCGGGGACTGAAACTGTCCTCAGGGATTCCCCAGTTCTCCTGGGGGCCCCTCTCCTTTCTCTTTCCACACTGGGAGAGGGGAAAGTTTATCTACACCCAACCCTGGGGCTACAGGTTGGGAGTTGTGGTCCCAGCCTAAATCTGCTGTGGGGTTGGGTGTGATGAGTGGCCAAACCTTCCTGAAGCTGCATGGAGGTGGATGTGACCCATCAGCCAGGAAAGGTCCTTCACCCCAGGACCCCATGGGGGTGTTGGAATGCAGGAGAGGATGAAGCCCCATCCCAAATCCCCATCCCAAACCCCTATCCCAAATTCCCATCCCAAATCCCCATCTGGTGCAGGCCTTCCTGAGCTCTTGCTCTGGATGCTCCATCAGCTGGGCTGGGCTGGGCATGGGGTGCTGGGCAAGGCCGTGGGCATCTTGACTTCCCAGCAGGCCATGGAGATATGGGAAGGTTGTAGCGGGTGCAGGGATGGAGATGGGAAAGAGCAGACTCCAGCTGGGGGGAAAAACCCTCTTGGGGGAGCACCAGGATCAGGTGTGGAAGAGCAACAGCTCCTGGAGGGAGCAGAAATCCCAAAGGAAGTGGAAAGGGTTTATCCATGTTTTGACTGTCCCCACAAGGACATTTTTGGGTCCAGGTATCCACCCCCCAGCAGGCAGTGGGATGCTCCCGGTATTCCCCACATCCCCATGGAGCAGGTGATCCTCTCCGGTGGGTGATCCCGGCCCAGCTCCGGCAGCCCCAAGGCTGGCAGGGATTTCCTTGGTGCCTCTGCTTGTTTGGAGCTGCAAGACTTGGATTCTGGTGCTTTTGGCGCGACTCCCCTCCTGGCCCGTGTTCCTTTGGCTCTCCTTCCCTCCAGGTACAAACCCAGCCAAGCAGGAGAAGCGAGACAAGGGATGAGGACAGAGCCTGGCACACCCTGACACTGCTCCCTTTCTTTTCCCAAAGAAAAATCACCCTTTTTCCCCCATCATGCCACAGCATTTTTCTTCTTTTCCGTTATTTTTGCAGCCAAAGAGACACATGGAGACCTGGGGACATGTGGTAGGGAGGGAGCATGGGCAGAAAGACCCGGGGGGGGGACGGTGACGGTATCCCTGGCTCGGGAATGGGATTGGCCACCAGGTGCACTTAGAGGAATTTTAATCAACAAAAGACAGGGCTGTCAATAGAAACGAGACCGAGGGATGAGAGCAGGGTTTTTAATCTGGGAAAGTGGCTCCTGGGAGGGAAGAGCACATGGATGGGCAGTGGCTCCCAGGGAGCTGCTTCCATGCCAGGGATAACTGGCATGGGGCTGGATCTGGCCTGAGAGAGGGGCTTCCCACCAGCTGGGCACCCTTTGGGGTGTCACTGCAGGGGCAGGGGGGGGAAGGGATGGTGGTTTCTCCACAGCTGGTTTGTGCCTCAGTTTCCCCTTTCCTAAGTGGAGAGGGGGGGTCACTCCTTTCAGACAACCAGATTTGGCGGGTGGGAGGGTAAAAGGAGGGGTTTGCAGGGGGTGGATGAGGGCACCAAGGGCTGTGGGATGAGCGTGGGAGAAGGGCAGCAGGAGCTGAGCATCCTGCTGGGAGCAGGATGAGCCAACTCTGGGCAAGGATGGGTTTCCAGAGCTTCAGGAAATGCCAAAGCACAGGGACCTCCTCACACCCTTTTGGGTGCAGGTCAAGATGCCTCAAGCACATTCCGTGACTTCCAAGCCTGACTTGGCCTCACACCACACTCATCTCCAGGATGGTGGCACTGCCGGGGGAGGGGGGGGGGGGGGGGGAGGGGTAAACTCCTGATTCCCACTGAATACCTCGGGAAAGATGAGAAGGTTGAGTCCCTGCCCTAATCCCGGCTCTTACCTGGGGACAGCTGTGCTTGCCACTGCCTGTGGAGCTGGTGGGATGCAGGAGGTGGAGCTGGGAGCACTGGAGAGGTTATAAACCTACCCCAGAGAAGCTTCTGTGGCCAAACAAGTTGCTGGTGCAGTTGATGCCACTGGTCATGGTCTCAGAGAGGAGATGGTGAAGAGAAGGGATGAAAGGGGCTGCCTTGCTCTGTGTGGGACTGGGGAGACCCTACAAAGCCCTTTTCTCCTGCAGAGCCTCAAGCTCATGTGCTGGATGCACGTTGGCAGCAGGTGGAACCCCTGCTGGGTTCTCCTGAGACACCTTCCACTATCCCAGGTGGAAGCCCCATCCAACCTGGCCTTGGACACTTCCAGGGATGGGGCAGCCACAGCTTCTCTGGGCAGCCTGTGCCAGGGCCTGCCCACCTTCACAGGGAAGAATTCCTTCCCAGTATCCCATCTCTCCCTGCCCTCTGGCAGTGGGAAGCCATTCCCTGTGTCCTGTCCCTCCATCCCTTGTCCCCAGTCCCTCTCCAGCTCTCCTGGAGCCCCTTTAGGCCCTGGAAGGGGCTCTCAGCTCTCCCTGGAGCCTTCCCTTCTCCAGGTGAACCCCCCCAGCTCTCCCAGCCTGGCTCCAGAGCAGAGGGGCTCCAGCCCTGGAGCAGCTCCGGGGTCTCCTCTGAACTCTCTCCAGCAGCTCCACGTCCTCCTGCTGTTGTTCCCAGGGCTGGAGCAGCTCTGCAGGTGGGGTCTCACCTGAGGGGGCAGAGGGGCAGGATCCCCCCTGCCCTGCTGCCCCTGCTGTGGGATCAGCCCAGGGCAGGGGGAATTTGGGGTCCCAGCCCACGTGGCCGGGGCCTGTTGGGCTTCCTGTCCCACCAACACCCCAAGTTCTCCTCAGAGTTAGTGCAGGACCTACCTAAACGTTGTGCTGGCCCAGCTGGGTGCTGGCAGCCCATGGAGGCAGCACTTCAGGGTGTTTGGGAAGATGCTCCTAGTGGGACTGTGGGAACTCACCATCCCTGGAATTTTGGGGGGGATGGGGCATGTTGATGACCAGGCCATGCTGAGCTTCCCATCCCACACTACTCCCACGATCCCTGTTTCTACCAGTGCATCTCCCCACTTCGAAGCAACTGGAATCAGTTGCTGCTGGGGAGAGGGATTTGGGATTTCTCCCAAGTGTTGGTTCAGTGCCCAGTGAGCTCCCAGCACCCGGAATGGCTCTGCCTGGAAACCTC